CTCTTCAACCAACTCTGTCTGTCCTGGGCTTCCTTCTCCAGTTCTGTCCAATGTTTGTTCATTCTTCACTCATATCTTTCTCTATTTCTCGGTGTAATGTGCTCTTTGAACTTCTTCTTTTCCCTTGACCTTCAGGTTTCCAAGTGAGGGCTTGTATCGTGGCGCAGTCAGGTGCTTTCCGCAATGTGTGTCCTATCCACTTCCACCGCTTCTTCCTGATTTCCTCCTCCACTCGAATCTGGTTTATTCTCTCCCACAGTACGTTGTTGCTGATAGTGTCTGGCCAATGAATCCGAAGTATTTTGCGTAGACAACTGTTAATAAACACTTGTATCTTCTGGATGATGCCTTTCGTAGTTCTCCGAGTTTCGACTCCATACAGTAGAACATTGTGTTGACATTTATATGGAAAATCCTAATTTTTGTTTTGGTTGAGAGTTGTTTTGGAGTTCCAGATATTTTTCAACTGTAGAAATGCAGCCCTTGCTTTGCCAATCCGCGCCCTCACATCTACATCGGATCCACCTTGGTTGTCGATGATGCTGCCGAGATATGTGAAGGTGTTAACGTCCTCGAAAGCATCTCCATCAAGAGTGATTTGGTTGGTGCATGTTGTGTTGCATCGGAGAATTTCGCTTTTTCCTTTATGTATGTTGAGACCTACTGCTACAGAGGCTGCTGCTACACTGGTCGTCTTCTCTTGCATTTGTTGTTGCGTGTGCGATAGAAGAGCCAGGTCATCTGCGAAGTCCAGATCGTCCAGTTGATACCGTGCTTTCCTCCAGATGTTGACGTCTTCATAATCCAGTCGACCACGAGAAGAAAGAGAAAGGGTGAGAGTAAGCAACCTTGCCTGACACCGGTCTTCACCTCGAAAGAGTCTGTTAGCTGTCGTCCGTTCAAGTTGTTATACCACACATTAATTAGCCGAGAGTGATGGAATTATCAATTCAAATCTCATAATAGTAAACGTTGTGGCAGTATTAGTAGTAATTGGAGAAGATTAAAGATGGAAGATATCATTCAAGAAGTATATATATCCTGGTGAAATAAATTTGAAAAGAAAGAAGATAAAGGTGATGAGAAACTCGGAAGATTCGGAAGCCAAATAATAATGGATGCACCTGCGCCATTGCAAACGATTTTGAGTCATGTCATTCAAAGTCGCTAACCATCGATTAAGATTGTCTCGCGGACCTCAGACACATAGTATGAACCTACTAACATGACTAATTTGTTAGTGACCTTATGGATTTGTGCCATGTTTTGATTTGTCCGCCTCTAGCTTCCTTCCTGCCTACATCTACATCAGACGACATCACTCGTTGAGGCATTTGGCGTTTAGGCATAGATAACACATGTCCCGATCACCTCAAGTGATGACCATTCACCAGTTCATTAAATGATTTGCCATCTGTTAGGATATTCTTCATCCAATATCCTAAGAGAATTATTGGTCAATTCCTATTGGTTAATTCCTACTGGTCAATTTCATGGTTGTCCTAGATATTAATGTCACGTGCTTCAATGTTATTTCTTATTGGTTGTCCTGATTATCAATCGGATTTGAGTAGCATGTCGTGTCTCCGGATCCTCGATCCCCCCTCTCGTTTTCCGACTAAAGGGTAAACTCGTAATAGTTCAAGCATATCAAAATGACGTGTTTACGTGCAGGCGTAACACCATCCTTACCTACTACCCTTTCCCTAACACCAGCGTTACTTACTCAGCGGTCCCAGGATATACGAGTAATGCTTCGAAGGCACCTATGATTGAATATCATTAGCCTACGAATCTCCTCTATTCTTAGAGACTATGTTTCACACCCGTGAAGTAGAACAGTGCAATTTATTTAAAATCAATTCTTCATCGGTACTGCATGCTTTTAATTGCATTCGGGATATTTATTTTTAGAGTTTCACAATCGGAAATTGTAATGCGATCTCATGGATCTTGAATGTAGAGTAAATATTTCTAGTTGTGTCCTTAAAATAATTTAGCCCTCAAGTGCTCTAGTACAGCTGAGAGTGGGGTGAATCCTTTCTCCCAATGGAAGTGCTATCCTATGACCACATGTGCGTGTACAGCTACTGGTAAGGAATTCCTACTCATTACATTGAGGCAGAGGTGCTCTTTAAGAGAGTGAGAGAACGGGAAGGAAGTGCCTGTTTACGACTTAAATTGAGTTTGTGGGTACGGCGGATCCATAGAATGAAGTTGGAAAATCCCAAAGCGATAGTGCATATTCGTTCCTGGATCCTGACAAAAAAAATGGCGTACGGACCTATTGTTGATGACCACCTACCATAGTACTGCATCTTCTGACTGCTACACTGTCTTGTGGATTTGGGATGTGTTACGCATGCACGTAAACAATCATTTGATATGCTTGAATTATCGAGTTTTCCTTAGTCAGTAAACGAGAGCGAGGATCAGTGATCCGACGACACGACAGGCTACTCTAATCCGATTGTCCCAAACCCCCATTGAGTAAAAGAAGAAGACTTGATATGAAGTAGAACATGTATTCTATATGCATCCAGAAAGTACGAGGTCCGGATACAGAAGAGAATCAGGATCTCGGACTAGCTATCTGGGTCGTAAAATGTTTCAGGTAATGCGCATTTATACAGTCAGATCAAATCGGAAACAAAATCGAAGTACGTTACATTGATAGTTAGGACGACCATAATATTGACCAGTAGGAAACGACCAATAGAATTAGACTTACAAAAATAATTCTCTCAGAATATTTGATGAATATCCTAACAGGATGTAGATGATAGCCTCGGGATCTGGCCCACCTTCCTAAGAAGACCATCTGTTTCGGTTTGGTCACCTGGACATTATCTCATCTCATACACAAATTCAGTAATTTTTATGGCTCATAAATATTTTAATGTCTTTTTGTACCATTCTTTATGTATCTCAATAAAAAAATAGATTTTATACGACTCTGATTAAAGAATCAGTGATTCTAACTAATCTGTTTATGTTTATTCGCGAATCCACCTGCTCCTACTGTGGTGCGCGCCACTTATAAGTAGTATATGATGCGAGGGTAAACGTAATGTCTGGCAGCAGAAGATGGGGGAAGATCAAGAAAGGAAGAGTGGGAACACAATGGAATTTGTATGAAACGCATGAATAAGTGGAATGTCAGACAATGGATTGAAGATTTGCAAATGAACGATTTACGATATGGTTTTCCTATTTTACTGAGTAACTCTGTTATTTGCCCTCACCTGTGTTCTCCTTCACTACATTTCCTGGACCTGTCGATTTACCTCGGCCTCTAAATGCACCGGGACACGACGTGTTGCAAATATATTTACTCGGTCGTTCTTTAAAGGAATTTCATGCTTTAATTTGTCACAAAATCCATACGGCTCCTTCACACCCACCAGCTCCGCCACGGCCTCAAACTCCCTCAGGAAGCTCCGCACATCTCCGCTCTCGAATTCCTTCGGCCATGGTATCTTCATCCTTTGTGTAGGCAGCGACACCAAATGTGCGCGAACGCCCTAACCGTTAGACCACTGAGCCGGTATCTAACGGTGTTAATGTCGAAAAATGTGTAACTTAACAATCTTCACAACGCCGTAATGCAAATTACCTGTGCTCACTAGTGACTAACTTCATGAGGAATCTTCTCCGAGTTCTAATGGGCAAACGTGACCAGTGAAGTTCAACCTGTTCGGGTGTAGGCAGTGTCTGCCGAAGACTGTGTATGAGGTTGCACAACTCCGTGAATTTGATCAAGTTAGACATTAACACCGTTGGATACCGGCTCAGTGGTCTAACGGTTAGGGACGAAACGGCCGTCTAGTGCTTCTTCCAGGTTTCTAATGGTGGTCTAACACTGATCGATTCATGGTTTCAAAAAATGTGAAAATTCCATTTCTCTCTGTGTGCTAACGTGTGGTATGGCAACTTGAACTAATGTACTTACGTACGAAGTTCTACGTCACCTCTAACTGACTGACTATCAACTTCAAATGAAATGAAATTTTTTTACCCAATTTTCACAAAATTAAAAGTATAACTTTGAAAGTTTTCCAAAATCTAATTATTTATTCGTTTTGTTCTATATACACAAGAAGCAGAAAACAAATTTGTGTTGTTCTTCTTTTCAAATTGATTATTGATTTCAAAATCACTGAATTCATTCAAACGAAATTTCGAAGTATGAATAGAAAAGGGGGAAGAGAGAAAAAACAAATTCAATATCAAATGATTCATCATTGAACAATGAAAATGAACAAACAAACTATAAACAGACATTGGAACATTGAACCAACCATTCACGAATTGTGCAACAAAGAGTTTCACTTTTTCATTTTGTTGAAAATGAAGATTATTTATTCATGACTTGAAAGCTAAGGTATCATCTGTCTATATCATTGAGAATCTTTAGATAGAGAAGGGATAAAATAGTTTTTTCTTGATTTTTGTGTGCTTTGCTTTACTTTCATTCATCATTGCAAAGACAATGAGGGAAGGGTTTAGAAAACCAAAACCAAAAAACTTCTAAATGAAACAATGGTGATACACTGTATTTTATGTTAATTATAAAAATAGGCTAATTCATCATTGAGATTACAAGAGAATCGTGGTGGGTAGTATAAGTAGGTAGGTGTCGGTACATTGTGTTTTGTTTTATTCGATTGATTAAGCAACGATCTAATAATAAATCAAGGCAAGGTGGCGCGCGAAAAATAATCGAATTGAAACTGTGCAAAATCACATGAAAATCATGATCAGTGTTTGGAAATATTTTTCTTCAATTATCTATTATTCTTATGATCAATGCTGATTTGTTATGTAAGTGTATGTACAAAGTGTTTATTTGATTCATCAATGAATGATAATTGTACATTTGATATATTTATTATACACACACAAATATTGAATTTTGAACATTTGTTGAACATTGAACGAATTCGAATTTCACGCGTATATCTGTGTTTTTATGTCTGTTTATTGAAATAATGAAATAATTATGAATTTAAATCTGTATTGGATGACATGTTGTCATTAGTTTCTAATGGTAAAGTTGTTGTATTACAAGTTCCAAGTGTTTCAATGATACCTGTGAATGTATCGGACATTTGATTGACATATGACTGATTTTATTTTGATTGGTTTGTTTGATTTAATTTTCAATTGCGTACATAATTTGAATACAAAGATAGAGAGATAGAGAGAGAAAAACAAACAGACAATAGAAATTATCGGGATTAATATTTTTATTCAAAACTTCGGGTTGTAATGCTTTGTTTTTCACAAAAACAGTAATGAATTTGAATAAGGAGAAAGTTATGAATTGATTTTAGTTAGACTATTATTACACTCCGCCAGTAGAACCTTCGGGGCTACTTACTGCCGGTCCCAAGCCCGGATAAAGAAGGAGGAGGGTTGGACATTGGGGTTGGCGACCCCATTTCGTCAAAAACTAACTTGCCAAAAAAACGCTAACCAAAAAAAAAATAATTCAAAACATTTTAACTCTACCCTGGGTAGTTGGAAGATGAATTATGACGTCGCGTGATGAAAGCCGAGTTCCGTCGGAGGTCACGGGGCTGATGCCTCTTCTGACAACCAAATTTTTTTTACGTGGGCGACCTATGCTCCATTGGGGGTAACAGACGTAAGTAAGTAAGTAAGTAGACTATTATTAGATAAATGGAAGCACTGGATGATTGTTTCGTCCTAATATGTGACTTCTCAGTGACAGACAGTACGTAACCATGACCTCTGTACACGTGTGAATCGAACTCAGAACCTTTGGTCGGTGCCACACAGAATCAATGTCTAAGTTTATTCAATCCATGATCTTGTGCAACATTTATCAATCCAGCCAAGTAATCGATTGTGGGGTAAGGAAAATGGTACTGGGAGATCAACTGATAAAGTTATGAATCTTTATCTGTTGAGATGGTTGGGACATGTATTAATTATGCCCAATTACTGACTGTCTTGACGAGTGAAGTTGACTGACGTAGATGTAGTCTGGAAGAAAGCTAAGGGTGACCAAACCAAAATATGGCACAAATCAGTTAAGTCACAGACAACTAGACTGAGTCATGTTGGTAGATGTAGGCTACCTGGTTGGGGTCCGTGAGATGTAAGTCACCAATGGTTAGAGACCTTGAACGACATGACTCAAAATCGTTTGCAATGGCACAAGTGTTCTCTCTAATTCTAATCTTCTGAATTCCTCACCATCTCTATCTCTCTCTTCCTGAACTTATCTCACTGATTTATACTTCTCGAATCCTATCTTCGCTCCCTAATCTTCCCAATTACTGCTAATAATTCTACTATCTCTACCACTATGGAATTCGAATTGACAATTGCGTCTCTGTGCTAACGTGTGGTATGTCAACTTGAACTGACATACATACGCACTAAGTTCTACACTGTGATTAACTGACTGAAAATTGTTTCTGAACAAGTGTCAACGCCTAAACTCTCACTCATCAGTAGTTTTATTCAAAGTTTTATAGTATACAATTCTGTTATGTTCGTCACTAAGTACGTTTGAAGCTATTACGATAAACGCGAACGAGACAATCATCAGCGTCCAAGTAGGCTACCTTGAATCCCGAACTGCAAAACAGAAATCTTGATAAGCGTAGAACACCCAGCAATCACAATACAATAAAGCACACAAATCTCGCTTATTTATACAACATAGAAACGTCCTTGGGACAGTCACAAAAAATAGTACACTAAAATACACAGCAGCCAATCACAACCATGGATTTTCGTGGTGGGAAGTGAAATCTCAAGGTCCACTGATCAGCCCACCCTCGCAAACGTGAAATCCAGGATAAGGCACTTATTAAGGGAGTTCTGGGGAACTAACATCCCCAACAAATTCATTAACTACTTAATTGTAACTAATGTGATGCATCTCCAAATCGTTCTTTGGTGACGACCGAATCTTATTGGTGAAGTTGTAGTGTGGCCACTAGTTCAAATGACTCAACATGGCATATACTATTATGACACATAAGAATGGTGATTGGCGGTAGTCGACATGAAACATTAGACTTAGGTATGGTGCTGTTTGGAACTTGTTAACATGGTGTACCTTCCACCTTGAGGGAACTAATGGTTACTGAGATATTCAACCCCATGTCACTCAGTTTCACGGTCAGAGACACTACTGCTGAGCAACTGAGTAGAGATCGACGTCTCCTAGACTATAGAAGTCTTTAAAATTGATTGATTACTGAAAGACTCATTGTGTGCAGTCCCCAAAGATGATCATCTGATTCGATTTGCACACACGGAAAATATCCAATCTTACACACACACACACACACAAATGCAGTAATGTGTATGTGACATAGAAATATTTTGTTTCCCTCATTGTTTATGTCAAACTTGAACTATACACATTGATTATTATTAACATTTTTTACCTGAATTGATGTCATGCATTTTTCCACACCAACTAAACGTTGAACAAAAATTGTTTGATCAGCACGAATATGATTGACAGTTTCATAAATGCTAGTTTGTAGCTAATAAAAAGAGAGAGAGAACGAAAAATTATTCAAGATAGAATATTTAGCAAAGTAAATGAATTTGAAATGATGACAAACATAAGTATATTTACACATTTGAAATCATCGATCAATCATTGTTAGACCACCACAATTAGAAACCTGGAAGTACTGCAAGACGCCCGTTTCGTCCTGGTATGGGGCTATTCATCAGTGGCAGTGCGCATCCACGACTCCTGCACCTCGCACTGTTCGAACCCGGAGCCTTCGGTATTGTGCGCGAACGCCTAACCATCGGATTACTGTGCCGGCCGGCATCCAACGGTGTTAATGTCTAACTCTGATTGATCTACAGATTTTTGCGCGACCTCACCCATTTGTCTTCGGTAGTTACTGCCATACCAGGACGAAACGGCCGTCTTGCAGTGCTTCCAGGTTTCTAATAGTGGCAGTCTAACAATGATTGATTGATGATTTCAAATGTGTAAAAACACAAAACCTTCGAAACTCTGCCCGAAAATAAGTATATTTGAATTGGCGATATTGAAATCTATCCGTTGATAGTTCAGACTGACTAGTTGATCAATCTGTCTTTTGACATTTACGCCTTCATTGTGAGCTATTATCCAACATCTTTGATGACTGTTACGCACGCACGAAAACAAGTTATTTTATATGCTTGAACTATTACGAGTTTACCCTTTAGTCAGAAAACGAGAGCGAGGATCGAGGATCCGGTGACACAACAGGCTACTCTAACCCGAACAACCCAAACCCCCATTGAGTAAAAGAAGAAGACTTGATATGAATTAGAACAAGTATTCTACAAGCACACAGAAAGTACGCAATCCGAGTCCAGAAGTAGATAAGGATCCCGGACTAGGGGTCCGGGTCACAAACGTTACACATAATGCATATTTATACAGCAAGTCGAATGGGAAACAACATTGATGTCTGTGACATTGACAATTAGAACGACCATAATATTGACCAGTAGGAACTAACCAATAGGAATTGACCAATAGAACTAGACTTACAAAAATAATTCTCTTAGGATATTGGATGAATATTCCTAACCATAACGTAAAATTCACAATGGTGAATAAGTTCTGGATTTATTCATCACTAGAACTACTGCTGACATAGGAAAACTGGAGACTCAATAATATTGGAAGCCATTCAACACAGATCTAATTAGAACAACACATATAAGCGAACAATATTGTTTTCGATTAGATCGTCATCAGGCTTTACTCTAATATACATGAATATTTATATGAAAATGTTAAACCAATCAAGGCAATTTGAGTGATAATCACAATGAAATGAAAAAAGATTACGTAACTACATCTAATAGGCAAAAGTTCAAGTGGATAATAGGAAAACAGGTGTACTGATAGTAGTAAGAAAATTTGTAAAATATGATAACTAAAGTAGGTCAAGGGTGGATGAATAGAATTCAAATAATCATCAAGAACGTCAAAAACATTACGTAATAAGCAAATGTGTAAAAATAAAATAAAATAATAAATCAAAAATAATAAAAATAAAATTTGTCAATCATTAGTTACGTCATATCCGGCCACGGAAGAGATAGGGGTGTCACGAATTTCTTCTGAACACATAAATTAGGGTTGAATGTACGTATTCCTATGGCTTCTGCAATGTGTAGGAGACGGGATCGAACTCCGTTGGGAAATGATGGACGTATACGATAGATCACCCGAAAAGATCTAGATTTATCTACAATGTGACCACTATCTACCAGGTGTGCTAAGATAGAACTGCGTATTGTTTTTGACTGACCCTTCGTAAACCATGCTGGGAGATGTTCACTCATTCGTTGGTTAAGTTGCCTGGAAGTACGCCCGATATAGCTATCTCCACAGGAGCAGCTGAATTTGTAAATGCACATAGAGGAGGCCAGCTCAGGTAACTTATCTTTCGTTTGAGTAGACATCGCAGGTCGACTGGAGAAAGTCAATGCAAGTTTTGCAGCGTTGAATGTTCTGTTGATTACTCTTCTTAATCTATCCTGCAGAGTATCGCAGGCCACATCTCCGTTGAATTGTAGCTTCATAAACAAAGGCTTCTTTCGGGCAGTCGAAAGATAGATTAAGAAGAGTAATCAACAGAACATTCAACGCTGCAAAACTTGCATTGACTTTCTCCAGTCGACCTGCGATGTCTACTCAAACGAAAGATAAGTTACCTGAGCTGGCCTCCTCTATGTGCATTTACAAATTCAGCTGCTCCTGTGGAGATAGCTATATCGGGCGTACTTCCAGGCAACTTAACCAACGAATGAGTGAACATCTCCCAGCATGGTTTACGAAGGGTCAGTCAAAAACAATACGCAGTTCTATCTTAGCACACCTGGTAGATAGTGGTCACATTGTAGATAAATCTAGATCTTTTCGGGTGATCTATCGTATACGTCCATCATTTCCCAACGGAGTTCGATCCCGTCTCCTACACATTGCAGAAGCCATAGGAATACGTACATTCAACCCTAATTTATGTGTTCAGAAGAAATTCGTGACACCCCTATCTCTTCCGTGGCCGGATATGACGTAACTAATGATTGACAAATTTTATTTTTATTATTTTTGATTTATTATTTTATTTTATTTTTACACATTTGCTTATTACGTAATGTTTTTGACGTTCTTGATGATTATTTGAATTCTATTCATCCACCCTTGACCTACTTTAGTTATCATATTTTACAAATTTTCTTACTACTATCAGTACACCTGTTTTCCTATTATCCACTTGAACTTTTGCCTATTAGATGTAGTTACGTAATCTTTTTTCATTTCATTGTGATTATCACTCAAATTGCCTTGATTGGTTTAACATTTTCATATAAATATTCATGTATATTAGAGTAAAGCCTGATGACGATCTAATCGAAAACAATATTGTTCGCTTATATGTGTTGTTCTAATTTTCACAATGGGAATCTTTAAAAATACAGATCTAATTGACAACTAAGTAAGTAGCAACAACCCAAGAACTCACAAAATCTACAGCTGCGTTCATACTTTGTGCAAAGTGAGTGATAACACATAGCTTTCTTCCAACCTACTCCTACACTACAAAACATAGCTCGTCGAGGCAGTCGGTGGTTAGGCATTCGTAACACATGTCCCAACCACCTCAACTGATGAAGTTTGAATACTTCATCTACTGATCTGCCATCCTTACCTAGTACTCGTTTCTTAACGACAGCATTGCTTACTCGGTTGTCCCACAGTATATGAGTAATGCTTCTTAAACATCTATGGTCGAATACTAGTTACCTACGAACATCTTCTACTCTTAACGGCCATGTTACTCATCCATATAGGAGAACGGTGCAATATCACTGAAGTCATTCACAATAGATGTAGCACACAAACCGACGAAGTCATTTCAAGCAGTTGTATGTAAACGAAAGGACAAAATGACAAGAGAAGAAAAACCAAATATCATCTACAAAATAGACTGTTTAAACTGTGAAAAAAAACATGACATAGGACAAAGTGGATGTCCTCTTCAGCTTCGTCTATGTAAACACCAATTAGCAGTTAAACGCCATGACATTTCTTCCCTTATATCATCAATACATGTGGACAGCTGTAGACATACATACACATTGCACTAAGGGAATATAAAGAACACTGTAGAATTTTTAGAAGCTTGGCATTCAGGGCAATCATTGATCAACAAACACATTAACATTGACCAAATTTATGGACCAATCAGATAAATCAGAGACAAACATAGGCTTAAGAAATGTGTCGAACGAGGACACAATCAGGCTAAAGATGTAGACAGTGACAGGTCAGTGAAAGGTCAATAACAACCAATCAAGATCGAGGTCAACAGAACAAGTTGCAAGTCATACGTGGATAAATTCAAATACGTCCCTTTTAGGCAGAGTTTTGGAGGTTTTGTTTTTACACATTTGAAATCATCAATCAATCATTGTTAGACCACCCCCATTAGAAACCTGGAAGCACTGCAAGACGGCCGTTTCGTCCTGGTATGGGACTCATCGCCTGAAGTTTGTAATGATGTTACGGCGTTCAAAAGAACAACGAAAACTCCACAACTAAAATATCCATTTCAGAGAACGAAACTCCAACATAATTATCCATCTGAGCTACAAAACATTTTTTCCATCATCTCAATACTTATGACGTAGCAGCGACATCGAAGCAGTTTACTCAGAAGGTACATATGCTAAATGAGACTGATCAGATGTAGTTTCTACTACCAGTGCAAATGTATTAAACTTTAGCCCATGTTGGACTCAGTAGTGTTTGAGGCGGAGAGTAATGGGTTCGGTCACATTGCCAGCTATCTCCGAATTGCTTGTAAAAACTAGAACTCATGTTGAATACCTGAGTAGACACAGATTATTTGTAAAATATGTACAGATCATCTCCAAACATTCATTGGGAGTACAAGCATGTCATTGACTGTATTCTATTACATGTCTATCTTCTGGTTTTCAGTATACGCATACTGCGTTGTGCATTTAGATTTCCAGGATCTCATCTGTCTCGTAGCAACTTCTGAGTGACGTACCGCTGCATACTACTTATGTGCCATCTGGTGAGTAATATTTACCACAGTACCATAAGTCAACTAAGATAGAATGTATAACTGAGATTATTGGAACGATCATTTCTGTTGGTATGTAAACTTATTCGCGAACATTAGTGTTGAGGACAATACAGTAACTGAATAAGTTTCATTGTAGTTTACTAGTTTGTATAACTCTACATCATATGAACTATGAGTAGAGAGATGTCAGGTGCTTTGAGCTAAGAGGCGGAACACCTTAGAGAACTAGATTCTGTGAGCTAGTCGTTACTTGCCACCAAAGGATAATACATACAATCTTGAAGGAACTGACACATCGTGTAGCAATTAAACCAATGTCAAACTCTGATATAATGCCAATAATGTATACTACATTACGGAGTTGTGAAGATTGTTAAGTTATACATTTTTGAAACCATAAGGAGGAGTCTTCTCCAAGTTCTAGTGGGAAGACGTCGTGACTAGTGAAGTTCAACCTGTTCGGGTGTAGTAGACAGTAACTACCGAAGACTGTGTATGAGGTTGCGCAATTCCGTGAATTGATTGAAGTTAGACATTAACACCGTCAGATACCGGCTCAGTGGTCCGATTGTAAGGCGTTCACACAAATTACCGAGTCCCGGGTTTGAGTCCTGCGAGGTGCAGGGGTTGTGGATGCGCACTGCTGATGAGTCCCATACCAGGACGAAACGGCCGTCTTGCAGTGCTTCCAGCTTTCTAATGGTGGTCTAACATTGATCGATTCATGGTTTCAACAATGAATAATTTATTCTAGCTGCAATTCACCTTGTGTAGGGGGTTGAGTTGCATTGTAATTCAAATATATCATCATAGTTGTAACAATTTTCACAGATCAATCAATCAGTCAATCATTAAAACTGAATATTTACTTACTTTAGCTAAATCCACCATTGAGTTGGCTTCTTCTTTCAATTTACGTTGATTATCTTTTGCTTTTCTTAATCTATTTTAAAAAATCACCAATGTTTGAATGAATAAGTTAAAACAACTGGTTCAATAGTTATTGAACACTTTGTATTGACTGTTGTGATGTGAGGTGTTCGAGATCTGAACGTGGTACACGCTACCTATCTATCTTTATGCATATAAATTCCTCTCCCTTAGAAAATGCGTCTATTTCTTGACCAATGATATGCATACGTCCTTTCGGACACTTCTGAAGGTCATCAAATGACCTTTCCATTTTACTGCCTCTGATTGGCTGGTTATATTATTGACCAGTTCAATTTTAATCAATGTAACCCATATTTAAAAATATGTGATATCGAACGGGAAGGCCTTACATTGTCAATTAAATAATCTCATCTCATAATTTACTTTTGTTCTATTCAAAATCGGCATTTTTACATTTATTGATAAACTATGAAGCAGTAAAAAAATGAGATATGGAGAATGGTCAAGTGAGAAGGTCATTTGAATGACAATCAAAGAATTCCTAAAGGCTGAAGACTTATCATTGGTCAGGAAATGAATTCATTTCCTAAGTCACTCAATCAGTCATTTGCAACGTAGAACTTCGTACGTTTGTTAATAAGTTCAGGTTGCCATACCACATTATTAGCACAGAGACGCAAATGTCAAATCAAATCCAATAGTAATGGAGATAGTAGAAGTATTAGCGGTAATCAATAAGATTAGGGTTCGAAGATATTATTCAAGAAGTATAATTCAGTGAGATAAGGTTAGAAAGACAAACGTAGAGGTGCTGACGAATCCAGGATATTAGGATTTGAGAGAGCACAACGAATGGATACACTTGCGCCATAACAAACGATTTTGAGCCATGACGTTCAAGGTCTCTAACCACCGGTGCTTGTCGTCTCGCGGACCCCAGCCAGGTAGCCTACACCTACCAACATGACTTAGTCCACTTGTCAGTGACTTCATGGATTTCTGTCATGTTTTGGTCTGGCCGCCCCCAGCTTTCTTCCAACCTACTCCTACACCACAAAACAGAACTAGTCGAGGCAACCAGTGGTTAGGCATATGTAACACATGTCCCAACCACCTCAACTGATGAAGTTTCACCACTTCGTCTATTGATCTGCCATCCTTACCTAGTACTCGTTTCCTAACGACTGCATTGCTTACTCGGTTGTCCCACGATATATGAGCAATGCGTCTTAAACATCTATGATCGAAAACTAGTAACCTACGTCATTTTCTAAGAGGGGGGTAAGAATGTAAACAGATATAAAAGGGTATTTATCAATATTATTTGATAAGCAAATAGACTTTATCTTCACCTCTTGATTTCACGCTGGAGCAGCCAGTTTAGAGGGTGAATGCATACTAACGTTTAGATCATAGACAGAACCGGCGTTGTAAAAACTGCATTTTACAATTGATAGAGTCCATCATTGTCAAACTACGATTAGAAACCTGGAAGCACTGGCCGGCGCATTCACAACTCCTGCCACTATCAGGAGTCGAAACCAGGACCTTCGGTCATGAGTACGAACACCTAACCTTTGGACCATTGAGCCAGCATCCATCGCTGTTAATGTCTAACTCTGATCGATATAAGGCCTAGAGGTTAGGTGTTCATGTGCAAGACTGAAGTTTCTGGGTTCATCTCCGGTGAGTGATGTGGGAGTAGTGGATGCGCACTACCACCGATGAGTCCCATACCAGGAAGAAACGGCCATCTAGTGATGGAATCGTTTTTCCTTTGACGATTCAATGAATTTATTGATAGTTTAGTTATGATAGGTTTGTAAACCAAATAATATTAATTTGAGAATTTGTCTCAATCAACTTTCTACGATTTTTTACACATTTGAAATCATCAATCAATCATTGTTAGACCATCTTCACTAGAAACCTGGAAGCTTTGCAAGACGGCTGTTTCGTCCTGGTATGGGACTCACCAGTGGCAGTGTGCGTCCACGACTCCTGTACCTCGCAGGATTCAAACCTGGGACCTTTGGTATTGTGTGCGAACGCCTAACCATCGGAACAATTTCTTTAAAAAAAAATAAATTCATGCATAAAAATAGAAACTATTTATCATTTAGTATGTTTTTTCAAGTATGAGACTCTTCAAAAGTGCACATTCACAACCTTTGAACACAGGGGTCGGACCAAGGACCTACGGTACTGTGTTAGAATGTTTAACCTGTTGACCAGAGTCGACACCCAATGGTACTTATTGTCTAACTTCCTGTATGCGAGAGTCGTGTATGCATACGGTTGAAGAGTCTCGCACTTGGACGAAACAGCCATCCACTACTCCAAGGCTTCTAATAATAATAATAATAATAATAATCCCCTAGTGTAAATTCGTTTATTCAGAAAAGACATTACGCAATATTTGATTTCTTATTTTCAAAATCAAAAGAAAGAATTTGATGTTAACAATTGTTTTAGAACTCACCGACTAATTGCTGTTAAAAATTTTCTTTGATGTCTTCTTACTCTAGCTGGTTTAACACGTTTTACTAGACGTGTATATTTATAAAATAACCATGTTTCACGTAAAACATTTGCAGCTGAATGTCGAAGCTAAATATTGGTGTAGGAGACAATAAAGGCAGGGAGAGAAAAGAAAACGCAAATCTTCAGTTAAATAATATAATTTTTTATTTGATTAGTTAACAATCGAAAGGTAAATTTCTTCTGAAATGATTAATTTGTTTCCTATTATGGAGATTGTTGTAACGCTTGCTTAAATAATTCCCAGCTAAATCCTATTGCTTGGTATTTCTCTGACCACAATAAACTGGACAAGTTCCAAAGAATCAAAAAACACGGTTGAACAGGAAAAGATTCTATTCCAAATAACAAGGTTAAATGGAAATAAGAAGCCAAAGGTGATGGCGAAGGCGAAGGCAAAGAAGGCAAAAGTAGATACAACGGTAGATTATTTATGGCATTTACATGAGAAGCTTCTGGATTGTAAGTAATTCACGTGATCGACTGGATTAGATTTAACCAATCAGTACGCAGCTAACAATACGAGAATTTTCTATCCTGTTCTCCAATAATCGATCAGGCGCTGATTGGATAGGAAATTAGCCAATCACCGCGCAGCAACTTAGTCATGCTTTAATTCCATCTATGTCCCACTAACAGAGATGTGTACATTTTATTGAAGTATTTTTCCTAGTTTAATCATTGGATTACTCCGACTGGAGCCCCCCTGGGTTACTACTGGCCCCAAGCCGGGATAAAGGAGGAGGGTTAGGCATGGGACTAGTGACCACATCCAGTTAAAGAAACGTTAACCAGAAAACATTATTCAAACCATTTAAACTCTGCCCTGAGATTTAGAAGGTCTTCATTTAGAAGACTTATGATGTCTCGTGATCGGAGAGGATTTTCTCTGAAAATGATGAGGTCGATGGCCCTTCTGAAAACCAGAGCAACCATTGAAGGTTCATATAATGTGAAAAACCGGTAGAGTCACTCAAGTTGCTGTAGAAATGAAAAGATACAACATGGAGGTGCTTGGAATCAGTGAAACGCATTGAACGGAGGTTGGACAACAAAGACAAGCTTCAGGAAAGCCGAGGTTATACTCTGGTCATGAAGAAAAAAATGCTCCAAATACACAAGGAGTTTCACTGATGCTGTCCAAACAAGCACAAGAAGCACTGATAGGGTATGAACGTCATCCAATGCTATGCCCCTACGTTAAAGATCATTTCTACGAAAGGCTGCAGTTAGTCGTGGACAGATGCTCACCAAAGTATTTGGCCATTTTGATGAGAGATGTAAATGCCAATGTAGGGATGGACAACATTGGATATGAAGACATTTATGGGACGACATGGACTGGGAGAAAGGAACGAAAATGGTGAGAAATTCGCAAACCAATATGCCTTAAACAAACTGGTTATCGGCCGCACAATATTCTCACACAAACGCATACACAAAGCCACATGGATTTCACCAGATCACACCACTCAGAACCAAACCGACCATATCTGTATCCATAAACTGACCATGAAAGGGACTTGAGAACCGAGAGAGGAGCTGATATAGTATGAGTTTCTTCAAAGCGAAAATATGAGTCTTTTATGAATTGCATATAGGAACTTCAGGTCCACAGCACTTGGTAATTAAAACACAGTTGAAAATCTCTATAATGGGAGAATACAGTTGTTTAACTAAGGTCACTTCATGATGTAAACTCTAAAACTTAACATTGTTCACAGATCGCTTGTAATCAAAGAGAAGAGTTGATCTGTGGAACTGTAATCTTCTAGTATTTAAATAACTTTACTTTCAGTTTGTAAGCGGTGATACATACTTTTGTTTAGCTAGTCGCGTACTTTCGATAATCATTAAAAAACACAAATAAGTTGACTCAAAGCTGATGTAGTGTGTACACTAATATGTCAAACAGACATCACTTGTCTCTTCTGTTGGACAAACCCGTTAATCCATTCATCTCAAGTTATTATTCACACATCAACTGACTTTGTAAATTACTCTCCTATAATGTTGGTTGTCTTTACTTGAGTTCGTGCGTGCGTGCATTACTGACTTCGCTTGTCGCACACCTAGTCAATCGGTTAGTCAGTCAACAACAACATAGAACTTAGTACGTACGTACATCAGTTCAATTTGCCATACCACATTAGTACAGAGACACAATCGCTACTTCAAATCCCATAGTAGTAGAAGTAGCGAAAGTATTAGCAGTAATCGGAAATTTTAGAGTTTGACGAAATTATTCAAGAAGTAGAATCTAGTGAAATAAACCTAAGAAGAAAAAGATAAAGGTGATGAGGAACTCCAGATGTTAGGATTTGAGAGAATAAAAAGAATAAATGCACCGGCGCCATTTCAAACGATTTTCAGCTATGTCATACAAGGTCTCTAACCATCGATTACTACCATCTCGCGGACCTCAACTAGGTAGTCAATACCTACCAACATGACTCAGTCCACTTTTCAGTGACTTCATGGATTTGTGCCATGTTTTGGTTTGGCCGCCCCTAACTTTCGTCCAAGCTATTCCTACATCGCAAAACAGCTCGACGAGGCAGTCTGTGGTTAGGCATACACAACACATGTCACACATCTAAACCTATTATTGCCTGATTAAAAATACTTTGTCGGTTCACTTCACTTCGATTTGCTTTCTCGCTTTTAATCCTAACATCTCTGAGTGAACGATTGCATCCCACTGAATCCGCATTCAGCTTTTGATTACCATCGTGGCACAAACGGTTCACCTAAGAATGTTATGCAGATATTGGCTGAAAGATTCATTTCATAGCATATTCAATCATTTATCCATAGTGGAGTGCCATTCTCCACCTCTAAACTGAACACGTAAAAATTTGTACTTTGTTAGTGAGTGATATCAAAATAAATTTTTATCAATAAAAAACAGACTATTGAAATAATGATATCAGTAGTATCGACTTACATTTTTATAAAATTTATTATCTTGCATAAAATTGTGTACATGTTTTTCAGCTCTTGTTAATTCTAATTTACGTGCGACAACTGCCACAACTAGCGCTGTACATGCTGAACCCTGTGAAAATTTAAAAACAGAAAAACATGATGACATGAATAAGAATTAACCAGTTCACAAAAAGCACCAAAAGTGGATGAACTCTAGAAATCTTTCACTGTCATCAGTCAATTGTTACGCCTGCATGTAAACACGTCAACTGCAGATATACTTGAACTATTACGAGTCTACCTTAGTCGGAAATGTGAGAGCGAGGATCGAGGATCCGGTCACACGACATGTTACTCAAATCCGATTATCCCAACCTCCATATTGAGTCAAAAATAAGACAAGACTTGATATGAAGTAGAATCTGTATTCTACAAGCATCCAGAAAGTACGACGTCCGAATCCAGAAGAGAATCAGGATACAGGACTAGTAGTCCGGGACCGGGTCTTGGTCCTGGTCATAAAACGTCACAGATAATGCGTATTTATACATTTTGGTCGAATAGGAAACAGTATCGAAGTCTGTGACATTGATAGTTAGGACGACCAATAAGAAGCAACATTTGAAGTGACAGTGGTAGTCAGGACAACCAATCAGAAACCACATTGGAGCACGTGACATTGACATCTAGGACGACCATAAAATTGACCCATAGGAACTGACCAATAATTCTCTTAGGATACTGGATGAATATCGCGCTATACAAATATGGAAATGGTTATTTAAATCATGAATGAATTATTGTGTTAGACTAACCATCAGAAACTTGGAAGCACTGGATGCTCGCTTCGTCCTGGTGTGAGACTTATCAATAGTGCATATCCATGATTTCTGCTACTAGCAGGATTCGAACCCCGGGATGGATTCAAGTTAGACAATAACATCATTGGATACTGACTCTAACTTTGATCAATCTACAGTCTTGAGTGACTTCAACGCACGATGCTGGCTGAGTGGACCGGAGGTCGGACGTTCGCATGCAAGATTGAAGGCTGCGGGTACGAATCCTGTGAGTAGCAGGAGTCGTAGATAAGTAATGCTGATTTCCCATACCAGGACGAAACGGCGGTCCACTGCTTCCAGGTTTCTAACGGTGGTCTAACATTGATCGATACATGATTTCAAGGTTTAATTACATTACTTGGTTGAAATACATAACCCCATTTTTTTTTAACTGACTGATCTCGACTCACATGATTTCTGAATTGCTGTTCATTCATATTCAACTAGGTTATTACATAATCAATGACGGTTCAGAATCTTCATTCTAGTCTCGTTTTCCAGATTCTTTAAATCTGAAACTTGCATGATTACCGATTTCTGTTTATTACTATTCTTATTTAAAAGTAAGTGGATTTTGTGAGCTTGTCGGGTCATCGGTTCACCTATTCTTTTGTTTGTCTGTTTTCTACTCCATCTCATCCACACTACTCTGCATGCTAACTTAGTACATAAGGTAACTTCTAGCGAAATGCAAACCTTCACAATCTCTATACTCTTTTGCTATTCTATGTCTGACGGTTCGTACTCATCTCTCATCTCATCTCATACTTATTTACAACACTCTTACAATGTCTTTAATCTAATGATTGACTGAGTAAACAATGAACTGATCAAAAAATCGACCGACTTTGAAGGATGTGATCTATGCAGTGATTAGGATACGATGGGATAGTGAAGTCATGAGTGGACAATCAATACTAGTGATACTTTTAGTGTCAGTAGTAGCAGTAGTAGTAGTGTGGTGCGCGCTACTTATAAGTAGTATATGACGCGAGTAAAAACGTAATGTCTGGCAGCAGAAGATGGGGGAAGATTAAGAAAGGAAGAGTGGGAACACAATGGAATTTGTATGAAACGCATGAACAGAGTGAAATGTCAGACAATGGATCGATATTTTGCAACAGGAACAGTCCAGTTCGATATGATGAGTTGATATTTTGCAAATGAACGATTTACGATATGGTTTTTCAATTTTACTGAGTAACTCTGTAATTTGGGATAAACACAATTCGGTTGCCCTCACCTGTGTTCTCCTTCACTACATTTGGCGTCGCTGCCTACACAAAGGATGAAGAATCCGTGGCCGAAGGAGTTTGAGGACGGATATGTGCGGAGCTTCCTGAAGGAATATGAGGCCGTGGCGAAGCTGGTGAGTGTGAAGGAGCCGAAGGCGAAGTTGGTGGTGCTGGGGACGCTGCTGAGAGGTAGGGCAAAGGCCGTATACGACAGCTTGGACGGTGCTGGCGGGGAGACGACGTGGGAAACGGTCACCGGGCGGTTGATGATGGAGTTTGACAGCCCAGTGGACAGGGAGGAGGCGCTGCAGAAGTTCCGGTTGGTGAGGTTGTCGGCCAATGGTGACCCACTGGTGCTGGCCGTGGAGCTTACCAGGTTGTTGCGCCGTGCGCTGCCGAATGTCGATGAGGAGTCGGAGGCACAGTTGTTGGCGTCGCAGTTTATCGAGAGTGTGCCTGCCGCCGAGTCCCAGCAGCTGAGACTAGTAAACGCAGCGCAACCTATGGACATCGGTGAATTGGCGAAGGTGACTCGTCAGCTGATGACATGAACAGTAGCTCCGGTCGGGTGCGGAAAGCAGGAGATAAATACTTTCGATGAGAGCGTGAGATAGCAGCATTACGAGTAAATCTTAAAAGGAACAATAAATGTAGTGAAGGAGAACACCGGTGAGGGTAACCGAATTGTATTTAACCAAAATTATAGAGTTACTCAGTAAAATTGGAAAACCATATCGTAAATCGTTCATTTGCAAAATATCAGTCCATCATCCATCGAACTGGACTGTTGTTCCTGTTGCAAAACATCAATCCATTGTCACTATTCATGCGTTTCATACAAATTCTATTGTGTTCTTCTAACTCTTCCTTTCTTGATCTTCCTCCCCATCTTCTGCTGCCAGACATTACGTTGACACTCACGTCATATACTACTTATAAGTAGCTCGCACCACAGTAGTCGTGTGAGTAGTAGTAGTAGTAGTAGTAGTAGTAGTAGTAGTAGTAGTAGTAGTAGTAGTAGTAGTAGTAGTAGGAGTAGTAGTAGAACTAGTAAGGCTTAGGATGTTGTGTACATTTGACTTGGCGGTGGGACTGTGGATGTTCGCTATGTTTGGCACTGATTGACTGACTGATTGACTGACTAACTATCGCACATTGATTATATTACATGAGAATACAACTCCAACTTACCATTACACCAGCTAGTACAGAGATTGCTCTACCACAATTAGTATTCGGCACCATATCACCATAGCCAATACTTAAAAATGTCACCGCAATTAACCACATGGAATTTAAAAGTTTTTCATATTCTTTATTTTGTTCTCTGAGATAAAAAGAAGAAAAGTTAACAAGAAGAAGAAGAATAAACACAATTTTGTTTGAATGAATGATTTCAAAATAGGCAATCTACGGTTTTGGATCAACTTCATGAGTGAAACTGAAGGTATTCGGTTTGATCCCATTGAAATCATGAATAGAGTATTGTAAGGCCATCATAAGAAACTTGCAAGCACTGGACGGTCGTTTTCTTCTAGTGTGTGACTCCCCAATGGCTATACTTATCCACGATCCTCACTCACGAGAATTGAACCCAGGACTTTCGGTCTCACGAGTGGGGTTGCGCAAAAACCTTAGATCGATCAAAGTTAGATATTAATATCGTCGGATGCCGGATCAGTAATCTGGAGGTTAGGAGTTCGTGCGCGGGACTGAAGGTCCTAGGTTCAACTTCCTGTAGCGTGGGTCGTGGATGCGCATTACTGAAAAAGCCCGTACTAGGATGAAACGGTCATACAGGTTTCGAATGCTGATCTAACAATGACTGATTCATGATTTCAATGAAAATTATTGATAGTTAAAAATTGATTAACCCTACATCGATATCCCGACCGTAGCTGCTACGTTGACGTGGTGGTCGGGCTTGACTATCGTCACGACCCAACCGAGCTATATTGGCTGGAACATATGTTCCTGCAGGTTCTACTATGCCAGACAGGTCGAGTAAAGAACGATCAGACTAGAAGCAGGTACTCAAGGTCTCAGCGCGAAGTCGTACTGCTGACTGTGATGGAGGGGTGTAACAGCAGTATGGTGTTTCCCTCGGACAACCAGCATCTGCAACGATGCTGCCTTCTCACAAGGAAGGAAGGGTTAGAAAAGATTGGCCCTAAAAATGTCACACCTCACCCTACTTCACGGATTTCCGTCTCCGTCGGTAGGGGTGCTCACTAAGGGCTTTCAAGAGCGGAGCTAATACTCAGAAAACCCTTCATGAAAAGGCCGTGCGTGACCGGCCTCAAGCAGTTTTCCCTTGGGCTCTGCGGTCACGCACCCAGGTCTCTAAGACCAACACTAATCTACCTTCCTTTTCAGGTCCCTCAAGAAACAACCTTCCACGGTGTGGGCATCCGGCAAGTGACAACCACCCTCATACCCGTAACAGCACACGAAACCAAATCGGTCGAAATCAAATCCTTCCTACACCCCCTAATACCTCTCTTATCTCCACATCAATATATTTATGTTCGTCTTGATTAAGTGTAGATCATAATTTCAGATTAAATAAACTGAAATCAAAGTCACGTGATTAATATTCCTTTTCATAAGCATGCTTTATGGATAGAGGTAAATCTATATGCTTTGATTGACATTAGTCAGAATGAGTTAATCGATCGTCTCAATGTTATCTGAAAATTCTCGTATCACAGTGCGATTGAGATACTCTTGTAGTGCATACAAGAGCGTAAAACGCTTAATCCAGCCTTTAGAAAAACTGGTTATTTTATTTTTGGCGAGTTATTGACATGTCTAATTGTTCTTAACTAATAATGGTTGTCTAACTAACATTGATCAATGATACAGACTATTAGGAAATCACATTTATGATAAACAGCTTAGTCAGTTAAGAATTGTGTAGTGTGTATACCAGTAAGTCGATCCCACATCGTCTGTCCCAGACTTTGAACAAATTAATTCATCCATAATACTCGACTTATGATTCACACGTCTTTCGACCTTGTGTTTTATTTGCTTGTGTGTGTGCATGCTAGGACGCAGATGGACGATCTGAACTTCGCAGATGACCTGACTCTTCTATCGCACACGCAACAACAAATGCAAGCAAAGACGACCAGTGTAGCAGCAGCCTCTGCAGCAATAGGTCTCAACATAAATAAAGAAAAAAGCAACTGCGTCACAAGACAAGCTTCTCATGGAACCCTCAAAGTCAAAGGAAAAGAGGAAGGCCAAGGAACACATTACGCCGAGAAATAGATAAAGACATGAGAAGAATGAACAAAAATTGTGTGGAACTGGAAAGGGAAGCCCAGGACAGAGTTGGTTGTAGAAAAATGTTGAGCGGCCTATGCACCATTGTGGGTAACAGGCGTAAGTAAGTAAGTAAGTGTGCATGCTTACGTCTCTTAGTGCATATTTCGCCTATTTTGTCTGACTATAAATACTTAGTCGTGACTTATCACATTGAGATGGCTCGCTCGCCTTCTCAATTTCACTTTGCTTTTAGGATTTTTATCCTGATATCCACGTGCATGAACGACTGCATGACTAAAACCCATCCAACCGAATCCGTGTTTGGTTTTTTATTACCGTCATATCACAAACAGGATTCGCCTGATCATAATATACGGAAATTGAAGGGAAGAGTTATCTAATTTCATACTTAATCGTTCCTACAAACTGGAATCAGATCACGAGCCACTAAATTGGTGAGCCTTAGCTACCGATTTAACGCAACCACAAAACTCAATTGTTGTTTTTACAAACAAACTACTTATAAGTAGTCAAACGAATAAAGCGTAAAAAACAAAATGACATTTCGTTTTTAAACAGTCATCATCATCATCATTACTCACTCACTCATTCACTCACCTTTCACAAACACGCATAATCCAACTGGTTACAATCCACATAGATAAAATAAATATTAATAACATTGTACCGGGACGTACTGTAGCTAATGTTTTCAATACAAATCTAACATTAATTTTTACACGATTCAATGCACCAATACTACGTGAACCAGCATCAGTAAACATTGTTGAATGTAACAATAGAACACGAAATATTAAATACAGTCGTAAAAACATTGGTATTGAAAATGTCAATTCTAAAATGATCATAGGTACAGGTTTATCATAATGCAGTGGTTCATTTACATTAGAATGTGTATAAGGTACATTTGGAAATGGTATCTCATTCATAGGATGATGTTGTAATCTATGCGAGTGATTATGTAATAATGATAATGGTGTAGTAGTAGTAATGAAGGATTTTGTTGAATATGTATCTTCGATTGGACTACTATGCGATGATGAATGAGCGAACGAATATTGATCATTGAACATAGTGTCATGTGTTTGTTTAAAATGATCATACAATGTTGTAGTAGTATAATAAGTATTTTGATATGAATATATATTGTAATTAGATAGAATTGGTGGAGGATGTACAAGACAAATGAATACTTCAATTAAAGTTAGGGAAATTTTTCGACAATTCATTGCTATACGCCAATCTTCTATACAGTTGTTAATACAAAATAACTAGAATATTGAAGAAATGAAAAAGAGATAGATAGATAGAGAGAGATGAATTTAGTGATTTAAAATCGTGAAGAAAACAAATTGAATCATTGAACATTGATTTGTTGATCAATATTCAATATGTGGAGGGGGGAAATATGGGATACAATGGATAGGTTGGGATGTAGCTGGGACGATCTAGACTTCACAGATGGTGTGATTCTTCTATCACACAAGCAAGAACAAATGTAAGAGAAGATGACCAGTGTAGCTGTTTGGTGCGAGCTACTTATAAGTAGTATATGATGTGAGTGTCAACGTAATGTCTGGTAGCAGAAGATGGGGGAAGATCAAGAAAGGAAGAGAGTGGGAACACAATGGAATTTGTATGAAACGCATGAATAGTAGTGAAATGTCAGACAATGGATTGATGATGAATTGAAGATTTGCAGATTAACCGTTTACGATATGGTTTTCCGATTTTACTGAGTAACTCTGTAATTTTAGTTAAATGTAATCCGGTTGCCTCACCTGTCTTCTTCTTCACAACAGCAGTAGGTTTCAACATTCACAAAGCGAAAAGCAAGATTCTCCGATATAACACAATTTACACCCGCCAGATCACACTTGATGGAGAAGCTTTGGAGGATGTAAAGACTTTCAAATGTTTGGGTTGCATCATTAATGATCAAGGTGGATCTGATGCAGATGCAAAGGTGTTGATCGATAAAGCAAGGGGTAGCATTTCTACAATTGAACAACATCCGGAACTTAAAACAACTATCAACTCTAACACCAAAGTCACAGTTTTCAATACAAATGTCAAGACAGTTCTACAGTATGGTGTGGAATCTTGGAGAATTACGAAAGCCATCATTCAGAAGATACAAGTGTATAATAACATTCATCTACGCAAAATATTGAGGATCCATCGGCCAGACACCATTAGCAACAACCTACTGTGGAAAAGAATGAACCAGGACGAAGTACTAGAAGTGGATAGGATACATATTATGGAAAGTATCCAACTGTATTATGAGGATATCCTTCACGTGGAATCCTCAAGGCTAACGGAAAAACGGAAGGCCAAGGAACATGGACATGAAAAGAATGAACAACACAATTGAACATAACTAGAAAGGAAGGCCTAAACACAGAGTAGGTTAGAGAATGCTGGCCGGTGGCTTATGCTCCATTGGCGTAAGTAAGTTAATAAGCGGAGGTACGTTTAGATTACAAAGATTTCTTCATGAAGGTCATGATTACCGGAAGTTAAAAAAATGATTTTTGAGTCAATCTTGGAATATACGTATAGCTGTTGGTGCCATATAAAAATGCCTTGATAAGTGTATATGATATGATGAGATTATTTACAATGTAAATGTGCCTATACATCAGGATATTCAGATCAGTTCTGTCATCTTACTGTTCTATCAAAAGTGTTTATTGTTGAAGTTATCGATTAGTTGATGGAATATGAATGAAAGTGAGCCATTTATTATATAGTATGGAGATGATCATGTTCGTTATAAGGAGTGAAGAGATTGTTGAGAGTTAATAAATTTTAGACCATCATTTAGAACCTAGAAGTACTCAACGACAGTTTCGTCCTAGTATAAGATTCATGAGTAGCGTCCATCCATGACCCCCATCACAAGCAGTTGAATACAGAATCTTCAGTCTTGAGTGCTAACGCTAAACCTCCAGAATTCTGAGCTGACATATAATGGTATTAATGTTTAATTTTCATCTGTGCAAGGTAATTCGCAAACTTATCCGGTGAGTAACTGCTTCACATCTCTATCTTTCTCTTTCTTAAGTTATCTCACTGAAGTATACTTCTTGAATAATAACTTTGATCCCTAATCTTCTCAATTACAGCTAATACTTCTATTGTCTCTCTACCACTATGGAATTTGAACTGACAGTGGCGTCTCTGTGCTAATGCGTTATGTCAACATGAACTTATGTACATACGTACGAAGTTCCATTTAACACTTTAAAAGTTCTCTATCCACATTTTTAGATCTTCGAATTTAAAACAAAAATTCGCAAGTTTGTTCCTGTCGAACAATCTATCGAAGGTTGGCGTTCAATTCCTGCGTTCGAGGATTGTGGATTTCCACTACTGATCAGTCCTATTTCCTGACTAAACATCCATCCAGTGCTTGAAGGTTTCTAATGGTGGTCTGACTGTTAAGATATTCATCCAATATCCTAAGAGAATTATTGGTCTATTCCTATCGGTTAATTCCTACTGGTCGATTTTATGATCGTCCTACATATCAGTGTCACGTGCTTCACTGTTGTTTCTGGTCATCAATGTCACTTTAAATGTTGTTTCTTGTTGATCGTTTTAACTGTCAATGTCACAGACTTCAATGTTGTTTCCTATTCTACAGAACTGTATAATTACGCATTATCTGTAACGTTTTATGACCAGGACCCTGTTCAGGATCCCTATTCCGGGATCCTGTTTCTCTTCTGGATTCGGACCTCGTACTTTCTGGATGCTTTTAGAATACATGTTCTACTTCACATTCAAGTCTTCTTATTCTTTACTGAATATGGGAGTTGGGATAATCGGATTTGAGTAGCATGTCCTGTCACCGGATCCTCGATCCTGGCTCTCGCGTTTTCTGACTAAAGGGTAAACTCGTACTAGTTCAAGTATATCTCAAGTTGACGTGTTTACATGCAGGCGTAACACTTACAAGGATTGATTCATGATTTCGATGAAATTCAAAAGTAAACAATGAAATACACATTAACTTACTTGTATATCAACTGCATGATAAACTAATGTAAGACCGACAAGAATCAGTGTTGAGGCACTGATCAATGATTTTATTAGTATAGAATAAATCGATGTCTATAAAAAATTGGAAGAAAATTAGACAAATGAAATAAAATCAATAATCATGATGAATTTGAGAGAAGACAAAAAAAAGAATGAATGCACCTGTTATTTAAAGTCACTAAGCATCGATTACTATTGTCTCATGGAGCCCAACTAGGTAGTCTACATTTACCAATATGACTTAGTCTTGTTATCAATGTCTTCATGGATTTTGTGCCATGTTTTTGGTTTAACCACTCTGAGCTTTCTTCCAGTACAGCCTTACATCGTAGAACATCGCTCATGGAGGCAGTCGGTGGTTAATTAGTATACGTAATACATGTTCCAACCAGCTTAACTGGTGAAGGTTCATCAATATATCAAATGATCTATCATCCTTACCTAGTACTCTTTCCCTAATGGCAGCATTGATTACTCGGTGGTCCTAGAATAAATGATCAATGCTTCGAAGGCACATCTTGTGGTGCGCGCTACTTGTAAGTAGTATATGACGCGTCTGTAAACGTAATGTCTGGCAGCAGAAGATGGGGGAAGATCAAGAAAGGAAGAAGATTGGGAACACAATGGAATTTGTATGAAACGCATGAATAGTGAAATGTCAGACAATGGATTGATGATGGATTGAAGATTTGCAAATTGACGATTTACGATATGATTTTCCTATTTTACTGAGTAACTCTTTAATTTTCGTTAAATACAATTCGGTTGCCCTCACCTGTGTTCTCGTTCACTACAATATGATCGAATACTAACAACCTGAGAATATTCTCTACTCTTAGTGGAGTGGATGGAGTAAACTGCTGTGCAGTAGACTTGTCCTTTTGTTTGTAGACAGATGTCTCCCTCCAAGTCATAAGCGACGCAGATTGGCGAACACCAGTCGAACTTTCCGTATCGGTGCTGAAATTCCGTCAGACACTAGGCGATCAGCAGTGATGATACTTCTAAGATGACTGGAGCGGTCAACACTACATCACTCTCTATCGCTAGTTCAGGTGCCTACGTAAGTGAACCCTGAAGCAAGGATTTGCATTTCGAGTATGGGGTTGGGAGAGAATCGCATCCCGAACATGCCTGTATTGTGGTCATCAGAAGTCTGTGCATTTTTTCCAGCGTCTTCACAAAATAGGACTGTATCATTGGCAAAGTTTAAGTCAACAACCGACTTCCCTGGTAGAAGGTCAACTTCTGAAAAGTCAAACGACGAAATGGTCGGATCTTAAAGCATTTCAGTGATAAAGTTGAATAGGAATGGAGAAAGTGGACAGCTTTGACGAACACCACTTGTAGTAATCATTTTCTGAGGACAGTTTTCCATAAGCTGTCACTTGACCAGTAGCATTAGAGTAGAGATCCTGTACAACGTAAAAGTATTTCTACGGTACTCCTTTAAGTGAAAAACCTTGTCAAAGAATATCAGGATCAACAGAGTCAAACGCCATCTTAGAGTCAAATGATAAAACTATTGACTGACGCCCAAATGTGTGTCCATGTTCTGGTATCTGACGAAGTGTGAACATATAGTCTATACATCCACCTCCAGATCTGAAACTAGTCTGTTCTTCTCGAGTTTGCTTTCATGAGCTTCAGTTGGACGTCGAAGTATTATCGAGGTTAACACTTTAGACACTATATTGTGATTGTCATAAGAGGGCTTCTGTGAGTGAGACAAGTCGGATGAGATTAAGTTCAGTGCCCAGGTTCTACTCGAGGTATCAATCAATCTCACTGGTAAAACCCAACCACCATTCTTAAAAATCTCAAAGGTTAACATATCAGGGTCTGCTGCTCTCCCTTACCTCTGATTGCCTATAGCCTTTTCTACCTCATTAAGAGTCAGAGGACTTAGATAAATTCACTATTCCGGTTGATTAGAAATTGTCGGTAACCGAAGTGTAGCTGTACCCTAAAGTGTTCAGCTTTTAACCTTATACACATCTATGCGAACTATGGAATTTCTTTTTCTTGGTTCAGATAACTATTCAGTTGTACGAGAGGTATGAAATTTAGTGGCCGGGGATCTAACTCTAATTTAGACGAATGATTGAATATACTATGACATAAGTCTTCCCATCAATTTACATTTACCATATTCAGGCGAACCCTCATCTGCATGACGGCGGTCACAAAAAGCTAATCACGCATTCTGTTGGCTGAGTTTATTTCATACAATCATTCAGCCAGACAGACAGGAGAATACAAAGCGTTAAATGTGAAGTGGAATGGAGAAGACAAGTTGAACCAACTTAATGTGATTAGGAATGTCTAAGTACCTGTGTTCAGACATAAATAATCTAGATTTGTGAAAAACGAAGTAAGTATGCCCATGCACACTCAAATAAAAACAACTTAGGTTATAAGCGAATGATAGACTGTAAGATCCATGTTTGAAGGCTTTGTTTGGGGAAAATCCCACCAGGTATACATTTGTAATTTGTCCTTATTGATTCTTTCAGTTGTACATTTTGTTAATCTGTTCGATTTATATTTTATTATAGTTTCTATTTTTTGTGCCTTCACTGAGTTTCTATGTTTTATTCTGAACTGCATTTATGTTGTTTAAGCTGATACATAGTTATGGCGGCAGCCATGTTGATGTCGTTCCTCTTTTGATTGTGTCGGTTGCTTGCATTGACTGGAATTGTACATTTTGATTGTAAAATTAAAGCACTCTTTCAGAATAGGAAACACTCTGTGTTATAAAGCAACCAAATATTATCTGTCGAACGAATCTGATCTATCCAGGAGGGATAGAATAACATTTATTTGTTGCTGTTTATTTGATTAATTGAACAGTTGTTGGTGGAATAACTGAGCAGTAAGTGATATTTGTTTAGGTAATGATGAATATTAGAACCGTCATTTACTCAAATCACATGTTTTGATTTTTCAACTGGACATGGCGCGTATCTAAACTACCTAGTCAGTTATACGTTAGTTCAAACCTTAGTTTGGATCCTACATAGACAAGAATGAAAGACGTGTAAATGACTCAACAAGAGTGGATTCATTGATATGCTCAAACTTTAGGATAAGCCATGTGTGGGCTCGACATATTAACAAGCACCACAGACATTTATATTCAATTACAAATGCTCTGTAATATCGCTTTAATGATAAATTATGATCAGTCTAAATTGATATTTGCATACTCTTTTTAAGAGTTGACAAATGTACTTATATTGGGTCTCACTCAGTGAGATCGATACTAGGATCGAGTCTCAGTGTAAACAACAAGGATAAGTGTTAGGAACATTCATCCAATATCCTAAGAGAATTATTAGTAAGTCTAGTTCTGTTGGTCAGTTCCTATTGGTTCATTCCTACCAGTCAATATTATGGTCATCCTAACTGTCAATGTCACAGACTTCAATGTAGTTTCCAATCCGACCTAACTATATGAGTATGCATTATCTGTAACGTTTTACGACCCTGATCCGGATCCCTAGTTCGGGATTCTGATTCTCTTCTGGACTCGAACCTCGTACTTTCTGGATGTTCGTAGAATACAAGATCTACTTCATATCACGTCTTTTTGTTTTACTCAATGTGGGTTTGGGACGTTCGGATTAGAGTAGCCTGTTGTGTCACCGGATTCTCGACACTGACTAAGGTAAACTTGTAATAGTTCAAGAATATTAAAAATGACGTGTTTACATCCATGCGTAACAACAACACTGGGATGGAGCGACATTCAAATTAACGAGTCCTTAGTACAGTTGAACGTTCGAATTGAATAAAACAGTAATATATTTAGTAAGATATCTCTTCATCAATTGTCAACTATAGATAGATGTTAATTGAAATCTAGGACGGACTAAACGGTTGTTTCATCTCACTTATCACCTAGCAGTGTTCATTCACTACTCTAACATGGATAAAACCAAATAATTTCAAGTCATACACAGCAAAAGCCTTAACCTTCAGATAATCAAATTAGTCGCATACTTGATACTTGTTAGGGATGTTAGACCCCCAAAACTCGCTTGATAAATGCCCTAATTTTCGATTTCACGTTTGCCAGCATGGGCTGATTAGTTGACCTTGAGATCACCTTTCCCACCAAGAAAATCCTTGGCCGTGATTGGCTGCTGTACTATTTTAGTGTGCTATTTTCGTAACTGTCCCAAGAACGTTTCTATGATGTATAAATAATAAACGAGAGTTGTGTGCTTGATTGTGTATTGTGATTGCTGGCTGTTGTAGAATATACTTTCTACGCTTACAAAGCCTTCTGTTTTACAGCTTGAGGGGGATTCAAGGTAGCCTATCTAGACTCTGGTTCATTGTCTCGTTCGCGTTTATCAACTGAGATGAACTCGTAATAGCTTCACGTGTACCTAGTGACGAACATATCAATACTCCAAAAAGCGTATTTTGCTCATATGATTTTGAGATGGTGGAGAAAACTTGTAGCTCAGGTGGATGATTGTGGTGGTGTTTCGTTCTCTGAGCTGGTTGTTTTGGTTGTGTGGTGCTTTCATTGTTCTTCTGTTGAACAACAACATCATTAGCACAAACTTCAGATATAAGTGAAGCCTTCGAAACTCTCCACGTTTGACCCGTAGCTTGTTCTACTAACCTCGATCTTGATTGGTTGCTGTTGACCTTAAACCTGTGGTTGTTTACACCTTTGTTTTGATTGCATTCCCCTTTTGAACTGTTTCTTGATCCTGTGTCCCCTATGATTTTTCTGATTGGTTGATAAACTGGGTCAATGTCGATGTGTTTATTGATTGCTGATTGACCTGAGTGCCAAGCTTCTAAAAATTCTCAAGTGTTCTTTTTCCTCCTCATCAGCGACACAAATCTGCACAAATATACAAAGCTTCAAAGTCAAAGTCTGCTTGAACTCATCAACCTATGCTTAACAACATATCTTCAATTCAACAACAGAGTCTACGAACAAATAAAAGGAACACCAATGGGATCACCAGTATCAGGACTCATCGCCGAAGCTGTAATGCAGAGACTGGAAGCGTCGATTCTGCCAGTGATCAAGCCAAAAATGTGGGTTCGCTATGTAGACGACACATTCGTTATTATCAAAAGGAATGAGCTGGAGAACATCTACAATCAGATCAACAACGTCTTTGATGACATCAAATTCAGGATGGAAAAGGAATCAAACAACAGCCTATCATTCCTAGATGTACTAATCACCAGAACTAACACAGGAAAACTGGAAACTCAAGTATTTCGGAAGCCAACCCACATAGACACCTAATTCTCAACTACGACAGCAACAATCCAAGAACCCACAAAATCAACTGCATTCAAACATTGTTCAAGAGAGCGAAGACACACTGCAGCACACGTGAGGCACTAAAAAAATGCGGAAAAACATCTTTTGACTGTCTTCCAAAAGAACGGCTATCCACGCAACTTCATCAAAAAACATCAAGCAAAACCATCATCAGAAGCAAAATCAAACACAGAAAGAAATAAACGCATCGTCCTGCCATACATCAAAGACATATCGAAACACAGCACGACTACTGAAACCAATTGGAATAGGTGTGGCACACAAACCAACAGAATCACTTCAATCAATCCTATGTAGACTAAGGGACAAAAACCAAATACCATCTACAAAATAAATTGTTCAGACTGTGAAAAACACTACATAGGACAAAGTGGACGGCCTCTTCAACTTCGTTTACGTGAACACCAATTAGCAGTCAAACGCCACGACAACTCTTCGTTTATATCAATACACACCGACAACTATGGACATTTGTTCGATTAGGACAATGTGGAAATACTGGATAGGGGGAGGACAAATAACACTAGGGAATTTTTAGAAGCTTGGTACTAAGGTCAATCAGTAATTAACAAACACATCGACATTGACCCAGTTTATCAATCAATCAGAAAAATCATAGGTGACATAGGATCAAGAAACAGATCAAGAGGGGGATACAATCAATACAAAAGTGCAAACAACGACAGGTTTCAGTTCAACAGCAACCAATCAAGATCGAGGTTAGTAGAACAAGCTACAGGTCAAACGTAGAGAGATTCGAACACTTCACTTCTATCTGAAGTTTGTGCTGATGATGTTGTTCAAAAGAAGAACAATGAAAGCACCACACAACCAAAACAACCAGCTCAGAGAACGAAACACCACCACTCCAAAAAACACCCATCAAATTTTCTGCCCTAGTTGATTCAATGAATTTCACTCTTAAAGTTGAATTCATAATAAAACAATCAAACCGATTAAAACATATCGACCTACCCTTAAATAAACTTTCGCCATAATCATTTCTAATTCAAATACCATTAATAAAATACCCATGACAGCGAAAAATAATGAATAATCAGCTAATTTTCTACGTCTTTCATTAAATAATTTACGCCAATGTAAACGCCAACCAATACCACGATTTGATGCTTTATAATTAATTTGCGGCTGTACTGAACCCAATGGACCATTTGTTCCATACAAAGAACGTAAATCTTCCGCATTACGACGTATTTTCCCACGAATACCAATTGGTCGATTATTGTTAGTAGTATTATTAGTAGTAGTATCACTGTCGACTGTATCGAATTTTTCATGTAATTGATCTGTGGATTGTAGCGAAGATGAAGAAGAAGAAGAAGAGGAGTTTGGATTAGATTGTATGAGGAATTGTGAGTCGTTATCGATTAGGTTGTGTGATTCTTCACTTTGTTGTTGTTGTTGTTGTTGATAGTGAGATAAAGATTCCGGTAGATCATGATGATCTTTTGTGATCGATTGTTGTTCTGATTGGTTAGATTTCATTGAACATTGATCATCAATAGTTTGTTTTAATGTGTCAGGTTTTGAATGATGATAGTCACTATCATCATGATTGTTATCGCTCTCTTCGTTCGTGTAAATAATTGGTGACAGGGCAATTTTTGCTGTATTCCTAATAATAGCTTGTTTAATATTTTGTGGTATTAAATAACGATCAGTTTTGTTGTGATTACTATTATGACTACTAATATTCTGATTAGTAGTATTGGTAGTAGTAGTAGTAGTAGTAGTAGTAGTAGTAGTAGTAGTAGTAGGAATATGACTTCCATCATGATTAATTTGATTTGTAATTGTGCTACTACCTACAAGATTGCCAGTTTCATCAGTTGAATAATGAGATTTCTGTCGTGGAACAGTAGTTTGACGATATGTGGGACTGGCTGTTCGAACAGAAAAGAAACCACAAACAGAATTGATTTAATTTTTTGGTAAAAGAAACAGAATAGAAAAGAATTTCATTGAAAAAATAATTTTGATCAGTATTAAACCATTATTGGAAACCTGGAAATACTGAATGACAGTTTCATCTTGGTGTACAACTCACCAATTGTGGGAACTGACGAACCCACACAAAGGAATCGAATGTCGCCGAGTATCTTCGGTCTTTTGTGTAATCTCTAAACTTGTACACCAATAAGTCGTCATCCAACAATGTCTAGTCAACACATGGTGTTACGTGACCATCAAGCATTGTCTTTGATGAATAAAACTGCCTCAAACTCGACACTGTTGGATTCCACTGGTCACGGTTTCTCACTAGAACTGTGAGAATTTCCTCACGAAGCTAGTCACTACTGAGCATAGGGTTGTGAACTTATCAATATTACACCAAATTCATTCAAATATTCACAGCCAAATTAATTTGTTTCTCAGTAATGTAGAAGACAGATTCTAAAAATTTACATAAGCTCACCCCAAATTACTGTTTGGCCGATTATCAACATTCCCATTGAATCCCCAATCAATGTAACCTGTCATCCTAACACACAGTTGAATCTTCAACGGTAGACATATTCTAAAGTAAGTCGGATCGACTGAGAGATTATCAATGTCAGACCATACACAAGTCCATCAACCATTTTGTTAGGATATTCATGCAATATCCTAACAGAATTATTGGTCAAATCCTATTGGTTGATTTCTATTGGTCAAAATTATGGTCGTTTTAACTGTCAAAGTCAAATACTTCAATCTCATGTCTTATTGGTCATCCGGACTGTCAGTGTCATTTAAAATGTTCTTTCTTATTGGTTGTCCTGACTGTCAATGCCACAGAATTCGATGCTATTTCCTATTCGACCAAAATGTATAAATACGCATTAACTGTAATGTTTTAAGACAAGGACCAGGACCCGATCCCGGATCCCTAGTCCGGGATCCTGATTCTCTTCTGGGTTCGGAACTCGTACTTTGTGGATGCTTGTAGAATACAGGTTTTACTTCATATCAAGCCTTCTTGTTTTTACTTATTTTGGGGTGGCTGGGATAATCAGATTTGAGTTGCATGTCGTGTCACCGGATCCTCGGTCCTCGCTCTCGTTTTCCGACTAAAGGGTAAACTCGTAATCGTTCAAGTATATCAAGTGGACGTGTTTACGTACAGGCGTAACACATTCTTTTGATCTCTGCCTCAAATTATCGGTGCAAAGTGTTTTTTGATCGAAATCTTTCCCTTCGCCCTTGAGGATTCCAAGCTTAAGCTTTTCCTGTGATAGAACTGACTGATTTCCGCACTTTATATTCGATCCCCCTCCAGCACTTTTCACTAATTTCTTCCTCAGCTGGAAGTCAGTTTGTTCTATTCCACAGTAGCTTGTTGCTAACCCTGTCTGGCTAACTGATCCGGAGTATCTTGCATAGATAACTGCGTCTTTTGAATGATGGCTTTATTGGTTCTCCAAGTTTCCATCCGATACAGTAGAACTATCTTAGCATTTGTGTTGGAAATTGTGACTTCTGTGTGTGTCGATATTTGTTTTCAGTCGCCGATGACCTTCAACAGTAAAAACGCTCCACATGCTTTATCAGTGATTCTGCTAAAGTATGTAAGGGTTCCTACATCTTCGAAAGCTTCTCCGTAAAGTGTGATTTTGTTGGTGCATATTGTGTTGTATAGAATGATCTTGCTTTTTCCCTTATGTATGTTGAGATCTATTTATGCAGAGGCTGTTACTACACTGGTCGTCTTCTTCCTCATTTGCTACTGTGTGTGGCATAGAAGAGCCAGATCATCAGCGAAGTTCAAACCATCCAGCTGAGGCTGAGCTGTCCACTGTATCCCATGATTTCCCCTAAATTTTGACGTCTTAATAATTGAGTGAATCATAAGAAGAAAGAGAAAAGGTGAAGGTAAGAGACCTTGTCTGATAGCCCTTTTCATTTCAGACGAGTCTGTCAGTTGCGGTCTATGAATACTTTTGCAATTTAACGCATCATAAGAACTCCGCATGACTTTGACTTTCTTCTCAGGTACATCATAAGGTCGAAGAACCTTCCATATTCTGTAAACTTGATAGTTTTCTTTCACTACAAGTGATAATTCTCACCCTTTCTCTTTCTCCTGGTGATCGACTGGATTATGAAGACGTCGACGTCTGGAGGGAAGCACGGTATCAACTGGACAGTAAGGACGCAGCTGGACGATCTGGACTTCGCAGATGACCTGGCTCTTATATCGCACACGCAACAACAAATGCAAGAGAAGACGACCAGTGTGGCAGCAGCAGCCTCTGCAGCAGTAGGTCTCAACATACATGAAGGAAAAAACGAAATTCTCCGATGCAACACAACATGCACCAACCAAATCACGCTTGATGGAGATGCTTTCGAGGACGTTAACAACTTTACATATCTGGGCAGCATCATCGACAACTAAGGTGGATCCGATGCAGATATGAGGGCGCGGATTGGCAAAGCAAGGGCTGCATTTCTACAGCTGAGAAATATCTGGAACTCCAAACAGATATCAATCAACACCAAAATCAGGATTTTCAATACAAATGTCAAGACAGTTCTACTGTATGGAGCGGAAACATGGAGAACTACCAAAGCCATCATCCAGAGGATACAAGTGTTTATTAACAGCTGTCTACGCAAAATACTTCGTATTCGTTGGCCAGACACCATCAGCAACAACGAACTGTGGGAGAGAACAAGTCAGATTCCAGTGGAAGAGGAAATCAGGAAGAAGCGGTGGAAGTGGATAGGACACACATTGCGAAAAGTACCCAACTGCGTCACGAGACAAGCCCTCACATGGAACCCTCAAGGCAAAAGGAAAAGAGGAAGGCCAAAGAGCACACTACGCCGAGAAATAGAGAAAGCTGTGAGAGGAATGAACAAACACTGGACAGAACTGGATAAGGAAGCTCAGGACAGAGTTGGTTGGAGAAAACTCGTGGGCGGCCTACGCTCCATTGGGGGTAACAGGCATAAGTAGTAGTAAGTAAGTACAAGTGATAATTCGACACGTGAGTGTTGATCATTTTGAGGAAAGCTTTTATTCTATCTTTATTTCCCTGCTTTACACTGTTAATCAGTTTATAAAGGAAACAGAGTTTTCTAAATGGCTGATAGATCCCATAAAATCGTCAATATTTTTTACTTTTGCCTCCTAAAACCTATGATAATTCATTCATACAAGTTAATACTACTGATATCGTTTAGAAAAAAAAACAAGTAGCAAAATATATATTCTCACTTACTTAAATTCATTTTTGATGGTTTGAAAATTGATGTACTCAATTCACGTAATGTAGATAATGTCATTCGATTCTTTTTATTACTATTATAATTTTGACTACTCATAGTAGTATAATCATTAAATCCAAAATTATCTGAACTCATAATAGCTGATTTACTATGCTGAGCATTATGATCACCATGATGATGATGATGTTGACGTAATTTCACTTGTCCTCCTCCTGCTCTATCTGACATTTCTCCTTTCAATGAATATTTATCACATGATATTTTTTTCGATTTATGCGTTCCAGATGCCCAAGCTAATGCTAACGCTCCAATATGTGCTTCGCGTTCTAATAAATTATCCGCCTTCATATCATCATCTTTTTCAAATGATGATTTCAAATGTTCACTTAAACGATATCCACTTAAATGTGTCGTATCCAATTCATGCAAATTACTACTACCAGCAATTATTGAATGTTTATGATGATCATAATCTATGGAATGTTCATTTTGTTTACTTGCTTCACTACTACTATACTGTCTTGGATATAAACAACGAATAGTTGATTTACGACGTATAATGATAGCATTTTCTGGTATAATGATCTCATCAGTTGGTTGTTGTTGTGGTATTACAGATGAATCTGTTCTATCATGATATTTATATCGATTAGTAATATGTTCTGTAGCAGTTCGTTTTAATGTACATGAAGATCGAGGAAGTAGTTCAGTGGTACTATTGTTATGATTATTATGATGATGATGATGACTACGATCATTTGAATTGATATATTTATGCTTAAGAAATTTAGTTTGTCCCTCATAATGATGTTGATGGTCGTTAGAGGATTGGGTTGAGAATGAATGTTTATTTACATCGCAGGGATTAGTTTCATTGTCATGTGAATCTGTTTTACGCATAATGACCCGGTCAACATCATCATCAGTGTTATCCAAAGATAAATGATAATTTCTTTGATCAGGGAAACTTCTTCTATGCATATTCTCTATTGATGAATTCTCTATGATAGATTTTGATAAATATTCTTGCTTATCATTATTATTACTACTACTAATACTACTTTTATGATTATTATTAGTAGTATCAACATGTTCAATATTAGAAAGAACAGAATGCCAACTTCCACTAGTTGAATGTTTAAATTCATTCAGATGTTCTAGAAATCTTGACGAATCAGCTGATTGGAATATTTCTAAACTATCAGTTTCAGTACTTGGTTGATTGAATAAAAAGTGAGAGAAACGTTTAAATCCTTTAAAATCATCATCATCATCATGATGCCCAGCATCAAATTTGTCCGATTGTGTTTTTGGCATAGGATTTGAACATTCTGGTTTATTGGTGATGTCCAATGTTTTCTGTTTTTCACCGTCTGTTCGTCGTTTTTCCACCTCCTTCTTCTCTTCCGCCTCATCATCTTCTTCATCATCGTCTTCAAGTTGTTTTATTTTTTCATCCATTTTGAATTAGTAAAAAATTGAATATTGAATAATTTTGAAGAGGATATGATCATTTGTGAATGATTACGATACAACCAATGCATTGATTCTATAAATTTGGAAAATAATATACATATTTGTTGATTTAATTTTACAGAAATTGATTTCAAAATTATACATATTGTGGTGCGAGCTACTTATAAGTAGTATATGACGTGAGTGTAAACGTAATGTCTGGCAGTAGAAGAAGGGGGAAGATCAAAAGAAAGGAAGAGTTAGAACACAATGGAATTTGTATGAAACGCATGAACAGTGAAATGTCAAACAATGGATTGATGTTTTGCGACAGGAACAGTCCAGTTTGATATGATGAACTGTTATTTTGCAAATGAACGATTTACGATATGGTTTTCCGATTTTACTGAGTAACTCTGTAATTTTCGTTAAATACAATTCGGTTGCCCTCACCTGTGTTCTCCTTCACTACAATATATCCATTGGATAATGAAATAGAATGATAATCTCTACTAGTCAAATAGTTTGAGATCGGAATGTGATACAAAAGTGAAACCATTGGCTTAAACTGGCTACTTATCTGAGAAGACAAGAGGAGACAAATGCTTGAGACTGGTCATGCACGGCATTTTTATGAAAGGTTTTTTGAGGATTAGCTCCGCTCTTAGAAGCCCTTAGTGGGCAACCCTTACCGCCGGAGACGGAAATCCGTGAGGTAGGGTGTGGTGTGACATTTTTAGGGTTGACCTTTTCTAACCTCTTCCTTCCTTGTGAAAAGGCAGCATCGCTGCAGATGGCGATTGTCCAAGGGAAAAACCTTACTGTTGTCATACCTCTCTGCAGTCAGCAGTGCGATCAGACCTTGAGTAACTGCTTTTAGTCTCATTGTTCTCCAATCGACCTGCCTGGTATGATAGAACCTTAAGGACCGTATGTTCCAGCCAGTATAGCTCGGCTGGGTTATCACGATAGGCAAGCCGGACCACTACATCAAGGTAGTGGCTTCGGTCGGGATTTATTGATTGTAGTTGGGAGTTCTAGAAATCTTATGTTAAGAAAGTGTCTGTTGATGATTTCGAAGCGTTAGAAAATGTCTACGATGTGTTCGGTATTAATTAAACGCCAGACTGCTACAAACATCAAATAGTGTATGAGCCAGGCATTTTTAGTGATACGGAACACATTGGAAATATTTTCTAACGCTTCGAAATCATCAACAAATAAAAAGACTCGACGTCCCTTTGGGTTACTGAAGCCTTTTTGTGGGTATGACGGTGTATGTTACTTTCCGGCTGCCCACACCGTAGAAAAGTTCTGTTTATCAGAAGGGGCACCGGCCTTATGAATTCCGAAGGAATTCAGCTTTTATCAAGAGACGTTATAATTCATCTAAATGAAGACCTTCTAACTCCCAAAGAAGAGTTTGTATCATCAACAAATTCCTGTAGGAGAGAATAAATCAAATTCCAGCGGAGGAAGAAATCAGGAATAAGCGCTGGAGTTGATGGGTAGGGAGCACGTTGAGGAAAGCACCCAACTGCATCACAAGACAAGTCCTCACTTGTAATCCTCAAGGTCAAAAGGAAAGAGGAAGGCCAAGGAACACACTGCTCTGAGAAATGGAGACAGACATGAGACGAGTGCACAATAATTGGACAGAACTAGAAACGAAGGTCCAGGACAGAGTGGGTTGGAAAATTCCGGTCGACTTCCATTGGAAGTAACAGGCGTAAGGAAGTAAGTAACTCATAATAGCCATAATAATAAAGAACGTCATTACTGTGTCCAAGATGGTTTTCTGTGAGACAATGTCACTAACCCTATGTCCAACCTTATTCCTTTATCTGGACTTGGGATTAGCAGTAACTTCAGTAGAAATCAGTCGGAGTTAAGGAATATGAATAGTATTTTGACAAAATTATTACATTTACTGTACTATAATCTATACAGAACACATTGTCAAAAATCACCGAACTGCGTCACAACACATCCGATCATTTAGAATTCTCAAATTCGAACGGAAAGGAGGAAGATCAAAGAACACAGTAATCCGAAGTATTGAAGATGGATGTGAGAAGATAAAACATCATTTGGATAGAACTTGAAAAGAAAGCGTAGGATAGAGTGCGTTGCAGAATGCTGATCGATGGCCTACATCCCATCGGAGGTAATAGGAGTAAGTAAGTAAGTAAGTAAGTAAGTACGTAAGTAAGTAAGTAAGTAAGTAAGTAAGTAAGTAAGTAAGTAAGTAAGTGGCGAAGTAAGTAAGTAAGTAAGTAAGTAAGTAAGTAAGTAAGTAAGTAAGTAAGTAAGTAAGTAAGTAAGTAAGTAAGTAAGTAAGTAAGTAAGTAAGTAAGTAAGTAAGTAAGTAAGTAAGTGGCGAAGTAAGTAAGTAAGTAAGTAAGTAAGTGGCGAAGTAAGTAAGTAAGTAAGTAAGTAAGTAAGTGGCGAAGTAAGTAAGTAAGTAAGTAAGTAAGTAAGTGGCGAAGTAAGTAAGTAAGTAAGTAAGTAAGTAAGTAAGTAAGTAAGTAAGTAAGTGGCGAAGTAAGTAAGTAAGTAAGTAAGTAAGTGGCGAAGTAAGTAAGTAAGTAAGTAAGTAAGTAAGTAAGTAAGTAAGTAAGTAAGTAAGTAAGTAATTATTCTATACAGTGTTCTTACATCACAGATAAGTTTTGTTCAATATTCAAATTGAAAAACACAAAAATCTTTCTATTCAATAAATGAACAAATACATTACATCAAAAACATGAAATCATGTTTCATGTCATAGGCAATTGCCATGTTTTTCTCCTTTTTAACAAAAACAACCATAACCAACATGATCTTCTTTCTCTGTTTTTCAGTAAAACAAAACTAAGAACAATCATGTTCAACCTTCATTTCTAACTTTTATATAACAACAGAAATAGTACAACACACCCGAAAACTAAAAACCAATACATGACAGCCTACAAATTTTGTTTCGTTACTTTTTCCAAAGGCTATCATCATCATTACGTCATAAATAGGCTTACAATTCACTTTCGAAATGATCCCCAACAAAACGTAATAATAATAATAATAGCAACCAAGGTCATTCGAACGACTTATGTAATTGCAGTTATTACTTACATATTTGACATACTGCATGTAATCAGTATATATATATATATATATATATATATATATATATATATGTATATATATATATATATATATATATATACCTGATCAATATTCAAGGTGAAGTTTTAAACAAAATGTTTAAAAAAACGCGATTAAACTTGTTTGAACTGAATAAATAACATTTTTCTTATCCGAGGTAAAGCCAAAAAAACGCGTGATATTTTTAAAAATCTTATCTCTTATGATTAAAAAGGCAAAACAAGAAAATAGATCTCATTTTGATCAATGTTCTTCAATGTTACAATATATATGGTTTGTTTTAATTTTATGCGCGCGCGCGCGTGCGTATGTCTAAGGAATGAGAGGACATTTGAATGTAGACAGTTTCGGCGGGTATGATTAATATCTTGGACAAAATGATGTTTCGTTTTCGTTTACCAGTTAATGTTATTTATACTACTTTTTTTAAGTTTGTGAAATTAATTATACAACACTTCAGGTAACAAAAATTTATGTGCACTGGAAGAAATAAAGCAGTATACTGATGATTGGTTCAGTGTGTAAATTTTCGAATCTTACCGTTTATTTAAAATAACTGGTTTTGCTAGATTCTATAAAGATTAGTTTAACTTATCGACATTATTATTTTCAGTAATGATACTGTGGTGCGCGCTACTTATAAGTAGTACATGACGTGAGTGTAAAAGTAATGTCTGGCAGCAGAAGATGGGGTAAGATCAACAAGAAAGGAAGAATGGGAACACAATGGAATTTGTATGAAACGCATGAATGGTAGTGAAATGTCAGACAATGGATTGATGATGGATTGAAGATTTGCAAATTAACCGTTTACGATATGGTTTTCCTATTTTACTGAGTAACTCTGTAATTTTCGTTACATACAATTCCGTTGTCCTCACCTGTGTTCTCCTTCACTACAATACCAATGAACGATTAGAGAGCGTTGAATAGTTGTTTCATCTTAACAAGGAACTCTTTACATATGATTAGCACTTACAAATTCTCAGTAGTTTTCATGGTAACTTCACTTCATTATTGAAAAGTTCCACTTACTTACTTACTTACTTACTTACGGCAGTTACCCCCAGTAGAGCATAGGTCGCTGACCAGTATTCTTCAACCTACTCTGCCTTGGACCTCACTTTCTAGTTATATCCAAATGATGAATCCTCTAATAGGACGAAACTGTCATCTAATGCTTCTTGGTTTTAGTTCGTAATTTCAATGAAATTTTGGTAAATTAAGTCATCTTCGCATCTCACACTACTGACATTACTCCGTTACAGTTATCTTTAGCAGCTGTATATAAAGTTTTATAACAGTCAATCTCATTGTATTACGTGGTTGTGGAGATTGTTAATTTACTCATTAGAATCATGAATCGCTCAGAGTTAGACCACCATTAGAAACCTAGGAAAACTGAGCTGCTGTTTCGTCGTGGCATGGGACTCATCAGTGGCAGTGCGCATTCACGACTCCTGCACCTCGCAGGAATCAAACCCAGGACCTTCGATCTTCCGTGCGAAAGTCTTACCTCTTTACCACTGAGCCGCTGTCTGACGGTGTTAATGTTTAACTTCGATCAATTCACAGTCACGCGTCTTCGGTAGTTACTGTCTACATCTGAACAGGTTTGAACCCCCCTCGGAGAAGATTCTTCACGAAGCTAGTCACTAGTGAGCACAGGTAATTGCATTGTCAAACTAAGAATCAGAGATTAGATTTGAAAATGTGAATTCATGAACGTGAATTTAGAATTTTCATAGGTAGCAACTCTCATCTTAGTTCAGTTGTTATTGACAAATTCATAACTGAACAGTGTGCCAAAGCATTTCATACTGGAATACAAGCACCTATGCAGTATTCCATAGTTTTTAATGATTTTCCAATTAAAATCAGTTCATAGTGTAAATTTTACGTCAAAATTAGATTGAACCAATTCAAACAATTGTAAACACAGCTCAGTAA